TTAAGCATCACAGCATCCAGCAACCTGCATGAAAATAAAGCAAAACGACAATCAACAAATGCTTCCTTACAAAAAGAATATCAACTTTTTTCTAAAGGGAAAATGAAACATTTTGATTAACAGGATTGCGTTACGAGATGACCAAAGTAATGTAATGTGATGACCAACGTAACGCAGCGTGACAGTTAAAAGAAAACAAAGTTCCACCTGACAGCCAGCAAACTTAAAACATGTTTATATAACATTAAGGCTAATTTTCAATCAGCCTGGTGTAACAAACAAGGAAAAGGCTTCGTTACTTAAAACAGTTTAAATGTATTAAATCTAATGGAGCCCTGTAGTACAATACAACACAAAAAGAGATCAACCCATTCAGCATGATTGAATTTAAAAAATGGATTAGATTTTATGTAAAAATCGGATTTTACGTAAAAATCAGTTTTCATGTGGAGAAAAACTGAAAATGTGGGCACTTTTGGTCAATTAAAAACCTTGCAAGCAAATTTTATGCCTGTTTATACCTAACTTTCATAAATTTCCTTCCGGGCTAAAAAGCAACTCGTTTTATGTTTTCTGCTGATTTTACTTCCAGTCCCATGTTCAAAACGTGAAATCTCCTTGCTGATAGCCATACAGTATCCTGGAGATGGTACTGTTACTGTTATGACAATGAGGTTGCACTGGTCTCATAGTAATATCCATGCAATCATCTTACAAACAAAAGGAAAGGGATCTTCCGTTTATTGTGACCAGCAGTCCAGGGAGGAACCCCCATATAAATAGGACAGGGGTGCTTGTCGTACCTATTAGACGTTAAAAATTTAAAGCAGTCCTGGCACCTCTCAGGGTGAACAGCAGGAGCTTTCGTGGTACCTTTTAGGGTATTGAGCCAAAACAATATGACAGAAGATAATGCGTTGTTTTAGAATTGGTACATGTACCTCCTAGGACTGAAAAAAATTTCAAGACATGCCCACAAAGCAGGATCTTGGTTCATGTACCTCTGAAAGGTTCTTTTCAAAATTTCCAACGAGCACCCCCGTCCTTTTTATACAGGAGTCCCCTCCTGGGGGGAGACGAGACAGGAACATCTGTAGTCAAAAATCTTTACCCTTCTATGTCTACAAATTGCGAATGACTTAGTACCAAATGAAAAATGTTGCAGAGTAATATTGAATTAAAACATATCATGGGCTAAAATTAGCATACCAAGAAGTAAAAACCTCTGAATTTGAATAAGTTATCCCCTCAGTACAATGCAACATTTGCCATTTGGTTGGAATTATCATATTTCTGGAAATCACAACTTTCATACTTATCATCATGACAATCACAAAAATCTTTACTGTCAATTGATCAATTTACTGTCTAGTAAGTCCAATCTGAATTCTATTTTACGAGTGAATGTTGGCCAAGTAGCACCTATAAGTATAGTTTCTGGCCAAGAACTATATTGACTGAAACAGTCTTCCATTTCATTACTTAAGATAGACTACTTCACAAAATTTAAGGCCCCCATCTCTGATCACATCTAATTTGTTGTAATTATTTTATTCCATGTTATTTGAGCTTCAAAAATTATTTTTGAATTAGGAATTTGTTTATCCAATCTTGCACTCATGTCAGTGGGTGATTTCACAAGAATTAATCCAATGTAAATAGAAACTAGGAATTAAAATAAATTTCTCAGAAAATTCAGGATCTCCTTAATTAAGGTTTGCAAGCAGCGAAAACTGACATCTAAAAGTCGTGGGCATGCCAACTACTCTTGGGATTTTTCAAGACAAGAAAGTGCACATAAGAAACGATCTTAGAGTCATATTTTCTTTATATTGTTGTTACCAGGCTGAAGACCCAAAGATGAAACAAGAATTGCAACAAAAATTCATGAATGGTATGTGAAGGAACTACATGTACTCTTGTCTCATTAATAATCATTGGTTTATACCTCATGTAAAATTACATGCATTTATACTTCACCTTAAAATGCCTTTCTAAAATTTTGTCACATCCACAATGTCATGTCAACTACATGTGGTGTTCAGTGAAGTAAAATTCTGGCTGATATGCTGCTTTTGACAGCACACAAAAAGTGTTTATTGACGCATCTTATAGAAACTGCAATCACAATACATGTAATTGTCCCTATTTTTGAATATATACTCAGTGTTGTTTATTACTGACAATTTGTTCTCCATCTGCCTCAAATGTTCATGGCCGCAATTCAATAATTAGAACAGGGCGCAGTAGGGCCATGGAACTTCCATCTATATGAATTAGCAACTATATATTTTGTGCATTTTTTTGGTTTGAGCTTATGGGAAAAGGTGTGTTTTTCAAGTTTGAAAACTTGACTTCAATTTTGCACTTTGAACGAGTAAGATCTGCTTACAAGACAATTGTTGTGCTATATATGTGTTAGAAAACTCTCTACTCTGGTATCCAGTTTCTAATTCAGAGTTTCTCAGAACATAGTTAGTAGCTATGCTCAGAACATTATGCCCAATCCTAACCAAATCTGTTTTCGATGTTTCCGATTGTTTCTGCTTGTTTGGTGAATTTGCAGAAGTTTTTGAAAGGAAAATCTGACGGAAAAAAGTAGCTTAATATTTGCATAGTGCAGCTCGTGCACTTTCAGGTTCAATTAATTCGGTGTTTTCAATTTTCAACAAATCTTGAAAAGGATTTCTTTCACTATCTTTTGTGCTGATATGCTACAACTTCTTTGCAACAGACTGCAAAAATGAAACAGTCACGAGGAGATTTGAGAACTCACACAAATTAAAACGAAATTGTCATATATTCGGGTTGATTACCATAACTTTGCTGATTATCTCTGCTGTCTTCAGATATTTCCAGCTAACATATTCAATATGTTCTCACTCACTTAGCGTAAACATAAATTAAAAAACTAGAGATATTGTATGGGTTCAATTTACTTTTTTTTACATGAAATTGGAGAAGTCCAGTTGGTCATGTTTAGCTACAAAACATGTATCAGTGNCCATCTCCTGTACAAAGCTCAAGATCTATTCAGTCATGAAGACAGTGCTGGTTCTGAAACAAGTTCTTATTTTTCACCTTTTTTGTGGGACCAAGTCTATGCTTCACAGATCAAGAAAATAAGGGAGAAATTTTTGGTGGAACCAGCTCCCTTGTGGGCCAGTTCTTACACCCATCTCCTGTACAAAGCTCAAGATCCATTCAGTGCATACAGACAGCCCAGTTGGTCATGTTTAGCTACAAAACATGTATCAGTGAGCGCTCTTTATATTCATTAACAACAATTGGATGTTTATGCAACCAAACTGAGCAGTATTCACAGAATGATGTAAACTTATTGTGCCTTGATGAAACATCAAGTACTGTTGATTCCAGTTCAGGTGAAACTCAAACGTGCAAAATTTTATTACTTTTCCATTGTAATAGACTCTAAAGAGAAATCCTCGCAAGCATGTGGCAAGAGGAGGGAAACTTTGAAGTTCTGTCAAATGCTGAGCACTATATCCAGATATATTCTGCTATTTTTTGTTATGTTATGGAAAAGCTCTTGACCTTCAACATAATTACTTAAAATCTAAGAATGGAGTAATGTGAAGCTTTCATTGGTACAAGAAGCAGCAGAATAAAATTAAACTTGGTCATGATAAGCGTGACATACAGTTGTGCACCTAAATTCAACACTATCTCACTTCACTCATTAAAAATACTTAGCAATATCTCAACAGACATAAACATATTGAGTTGTGGGTGAAAAGCATCAAAAAACCTTTTAAAATTATGCCACTACTGGCCCAAAATAAAGAAAGCCTGATTTCTGGTTCATCAAGAGGAGATTTTTGGCAGCCATTTTAATCACACCGAAGCACAGAATGAGTGCTCGTGCCTGTCCTACTCTGCATCACACATTGCACAAATTGAGCAGACTGCCTTTTTCACTGCCAGACCTTTTTCTGTTCTGATTAGACCATTTATATTGAGTCATTGTGATAATCAGTTAGCCATGACAAGCAAGAAGTTTCTTTGCAATTTATTTTTGGGAGGGTCATAAACATTGTACAAAAATTGTTATTGTCGTCTATAACAAGAAATAAAGACATGCTTTTGTAACATATTCTTCCTGAAATTTGATCTACAATTTGAAAAATTGCTGGGTTACTTTTCAAGTGAAAAATTATCTTGAGCCATACCCTTAAAAATGTACTCTGGTACCTCTAAAGGAGGTTCCCCACTCGGTCTTAAAGGGTAGAATGCAGAAACTACAGTACATGTACAAGTAATCAGCTAACCTAATCAGTGTACGNGTCTATAACAAGAAATAAAGACATGCTTTTGTAACATATTCTTCCTGAAATTTGATCTACAATTTGAAAAATTGCTGGGTTACTTTTCAAGTGAAAAATTATCTGAAGCCATACCCTTAAAAATGTACTCTGGTACCTCTAAAGGATGTTTTTAAAATTTCCAGCAAGCATTAATTTTATAAGGAGGTTCCCCACTCGGTCTTAAAGGGTAGAATGCAGAAACTACAGTACATGTACAAGCAATCAGCTAACCTAATCAGTGTACGTCTTCTGAAGCTGTCCAGCCTTCTCCCCTGAAAAATGGTCAGTTGACTCTTACTAGCTTTTTTCATTCCTTGCTTGACATTTTTCTGAAAGAAAGTAAAATAATAAATAAATGCTGGGTAATATCTTAGATAGTATTTGTCCTTCACTGCTGCTGACATCCATGTATAATGATTATACAAAATCACATAGGGTATGGTCCTTATTGTGCCTTTCAATAACATGCAGACTCTAAAATTCAAAGATCAACCGACAAATGCATTTTTTGCTACTGTCAATCAAATGTTCGGCAGCTCCTCCCAGCTTCCAATTACTGTCAAGCGCGCAGTAATCAAATCGTTGAGCACAGCTCAGACAATGAAACAGTGCTTGGCAGTAGTCAATAGCTTGGACGAGCTGCTGAACATTTGATTGATAGTAGCAAAAAACGCATCTGTCGGTTGAGCTTTCAATTCTAGAGTCCGCATGTTATTGAAAGGTGCAGTAAACACAATTGTTAACCCTTGGACATGCAAGGGATTGGGGTGAATGTAGCCTCCTAAATTGAGACACTCTTTTGGCCTATCACACACTCCTCCTCAGCAATGGTCTGCTGAAATGAATGGGCTAGTCATATAGACCAATCTCAGTACACATCCAAATCCTGGAAGTGTACTGAAGGTCTGCTTTTTTGCAACTTTTAAAACACACCACAAACAAAACATAACTGTGCCTTGCCCTTAAGTGTTTGACAGATTTAAAATTTTCATTTGAAATCCTTGGACTTGACCTGAACGACACTGTACACTAGCTACATTGTTAACCTACTTAAAACAAGCAGAAATAACTTTTATTACCTTATTAATATATTTTCTTTTATTTGAATTGTTACAATAATAAGCCACTTGTAACACTTGGTACAGACAACACATTCGTAAGCCTTTACTTTGAAATCTCATGATGTGTTCAATCAGGTCAGCCAAACACCTACTAAACACTGGAATTCTCATTCATGAGTAAACACTGGAAAATTGTTCCCTCCAAGGGCAGGCTGCTCCAGTTATGACTGGAACCAGACTATGACACTGTGAGATACATGTAGCACTGATCTCTGTAGAAATATCCATGCAATCTTCAGCTATGTTTATGTTCAAAAGGCAAGGGATCTTCCATTCATTTCAGCGAACTTTTGTTGGGGAGGAGTGATAAAACAAAAGAAGGTCAACATTGGAGGCTAGGGTAGATGTCATTCCCCTGATGTTTTTCCAAATGTTGAAAAGTGTTTTAAGTCTGGAAGCTAGAGCTTTCTTGAGCTGTGCGTTCATCCACTGGGAATATATGCCCATAAATGGGTGTGACGGTTCGTCAACTGTCAACAAGGAATCTTTTTTAGTAAAATTGAACCTACCAGACAACTGTGGTTGAATTGTTTCCATGGGAGAGTAGCCTGCACCAAGTTACAATGACACACACATCACTGAAGACATCTGTGGAAAAGCGTGACATAAACATATTTTAGTAAAGTAACATTTTTTTGGTTGTTCGGGTGTCTGGAAAACCCGAATAGCGAATAGTCGTGAATAGTTAACAGCGAATAGTCCCGAATAGTGTGAATAGTCTTGAATAGTGCGAATAGTGGTGAACAGTCGTGAAAAGTAGCGAACAGTGACGAATACAGGTAGTCGTCAATAGTCACCACTTTAGATCTAATATCCTGCCTTAATTAATTATCCAAATAAGGAACAGAATTTCAGTGAATTTATTACCTTTTCTTCTCCAGACTCAGGCTNTGAATTTATTACCTTTTCTTCTCCGGACTCAGGGTAGTAGGCTGTCCATCGCCGACATTAAGAAAACAGAAAACACAAGGATAACCTAATAAAGACGTATTTACGCTTTTGTAGCGGTTAAAACAGAAGAAATTATGTTTAGAAACACCTTTTGTCCTCATAAGTGTCTCTGCTTTTTAGCGGGAAAATCCCATCCTACGTTGCTGCGAGGTTGACTGCGAGATACTGGGTACCCTATTTGTTATGATTTGGCACTATTCGAGACTGTTGGCCACTATTCGCACTATTCGAGACTATTCGCACTATTCATACTATTCGCTATTCGCTATTCGCTATTCTGGACTACTCACTGTTCACTATTCGCGACTATTCGCTATTCGGATTTTCCGGACACCCTGGCTGTCCTGGTAATTGTGATTGATGGCAACCAAAAATGCACTAGGGAAGATATTTGTTTACAAACATTGTTTTTGTTATTTAAATGTTCAAAGCGTTAAACAAAAGAATTCTTTGTTTCACCAGCCAATAGTTCTCTGGTTGGCATATTAATAACAATATTATTGGTGACATTACTGATATCTTTGTTATTGAAATTCAATGTTATTGACAGGCACAGTGAGAAAGGTCATTACTTTTTTACATGTTAATTTCTGAGACAAAGTTTTAAAGTTTTTGAAGAGATGGTTTTAACGTGAGTTTCAAGGTTAAGGACAATACATTTCTGAAAAAGAAATTTGATACATCCAGATGGGCATAGATCTGGGTTTTAAATTTGCCGCCATTTCTAAAATTCAAATTACCGGCTCGTTGGCTGGTTTTCCAAGCAAACTTAAAAAATTTGTCCGGCAAATTATAACAGCGTGCTTATTAGAAACATAACCAAACGCTGGTTTATAAAATATATCCGAGCTAAAACTAAATCTGCTCGAATCAATGAGACAACCTACCTTACGCATGAACAATATGGCGGCTTCTCAATTCCCATAGTCTATTCTCTTTCTGTGATTACTAGAATTGAGAAAAGGCAACCAGATTACAATATGACTTCCATATGTTAATACAGTCTTCATAAAATGAGATAACAAAGCTAATTTTAAAACTTACCAAGAAGTTAATAACCATTTTCACATATCCTTTTGAATGGAAGCCACCACGAATTCTCCCAAGTTGGACGATCGATAGGTATTGTGGGATATTTTTTCTTTGGCCTCCCCTCCCCAGCACTTGTATGAGGTGTATTTGATGGATTGACTTTCGAATTCGCATCAACTTGCGTTCC